ACAAATTTTGTGTATACATATAGGATATATTTTATTACCAACTAAATAACGGAAATCACTATGTATGGTAGACTAATTTTGATGTATTTTAATCGTAGGTATATTTAATGTAAGTTATTTTAATAAGTAGTTTTTATATTTTAAGACGATTTTGTACTGTTTTATGGATGTTTTTGTACAGATCCTGATGAAGAGCGTAAGCTCGAAAGCTTGATGATTAAAGACACGTTTTGTTCCATCCAAGCCTCCGACTATTTCTTTCATCTATATATACCATGAGGCACGTTTCAACTGGCTCTGAAGGCAATCAATTTCTTTCGCTTTATATATGAATATATATATAATTTTATCTGTCTCTTATCCAAATCGAAAATATTTATTTTGAAGAACTAAGTTTACTTGTTACGTGATATTGTCTCAGATGTTACGATTTATTAACATTAAAACAGGCGTCTAGAGCAAAAGTATCCATTTGACATCAATTAATGAAAACCATAAATACTAGGTTATAGTGTAACTGTGGTTGGTAACCAATTATTTTTATTTCTCTAATTTATATTGTTTGTTTTTCTGCTGTCCTACTTTATACTTTCCACCACCGGAACCATATGGCGGGTGGGTCACGGACCAGAGATGACCACGTGACTCGCCCAAACGAAAGTATCTTTGAAATATAGATCTACAGCCTCAGTTAAAGCCATGTTAGGCAGTTGGCCTCTGGTAAGTGCGAATGCTGTCACTAACTAATGTGATATGAATATTGTTCATAGTTTGCTTTATTATAAACTACTAAAATTGAATAAGTTAAAGAACCGTTCATAAGTAAAGTCTCCACTTCACGATTGAATAAAGCGAAAATAACAAAAATAGGCCTATAAAAACTAAGTAGACAAAATGTGCCCGTGGGTTGGCTAAATTTTCTGTTTAATGTTGTACCGCAGTGATTAGATTGAAGATTATCGTAATTTGCAAAATGTAATTCGAACTCGATAGAGGCTATTCTTTTGACACGGCAAAATATTCTTAATGATAAATTTTGTTTAATAAAGCCTTCAAATGATTTGGTTCATGTTAATCTAAAAACAAATCTACAGTTTTACTTAAGATAGTATTAACAATATGATTACTTTCAGCTACCTGCACAAAACATCTCTCACTTAATTGTTTACTATTCTCAAAGTCCAACAAACTTGGCTTGGTTTTTGTGTGACTAACCTACTCACCGATCAATCGGCCGATTCGATAATATATCTATGGGTGAAAAAATTGAATGAACGAAGAAATTAATGATTTAGTTATTGAATGATGAATGAATGGAAAAGCCTAATTGAACGAATTATTTACTAATAATAATGTTCATCTATTTGCGGCTAGCTGATTAGTGTGTGAAAGCGAAAGCCAATTTATTTATCGAATAGTCCTCTGTACCTATGCTAAACCAATAAAACAATAAAATGTTCAATTCATCAATAGTAAGCACGGTAGTTTATTAGCTACCAATTGAAAATAAGGATAAAAAAAACACATTTACCTTGACAATAATTCACATGGGACTATTCCTAATTGCAACCAATGACTTATAAGCCTAAACAAAATCAGAATCTTAACTGTCTGTAATTTCAATTTTGTCGCATTGGAAGTGATGACTAACTTTGAAAATAATTTCGTTGCATAGTAGTTGTTAATTTTTTTAATTTTTCCATAGAAATTACCTAACACACAAACACACACCCCCACATATATGGTCAATTTAATTACTATTCTAAAACTTCTGTCCTTTCGGGTTACATAATTAATTATATGCTAATTAACGCATTTAAAAAATGCTAATGCCACGTCAGAAACAAACGTACTACTTCATTCCACAATAAAAGAGCAGAGACCAAGAGGGTGACACCCCTAAGTCAAATCAAGATATATGCACGTTTCATTTCAGTAAGTTTCACGAATTGCCTTTATAAATTTGTATTGAATAACCAATTTTGTATATACATATAGGATATATTTTATTATAAACAAAATAACGGACATCACTATGCAAGGTAGACTAATTTTGATGTATTTTAATCATAGGTATTTTTAATGTAAATTATTTTAATAAGTAGTTTTTATATTTTAAGGCGATTTTGTACTGTTTTATGGATGTTTTGTACAGATCCTGATGAAGAGCGGAAGCTCGAAAGCTTGATGATTAAAGACACGTTTTGTTCCATCCAAGCCTCC